CCCCAAAACCCCAAAACCCCAAAACCCCAAGTATGAATCCAGGTGTTGAATTAAGGTCTGTTTATGAATGACGTAAATTAGTTTAACTTTTGATTCCCCATTTGATTTTGCAATCTTTCCCGGTCTCTGATCTCTTTTCGTAATCGGGCGATGTGCTGCAGGCTAGGGTTTTGGCTGGTGCTCTGGATTTCAGAAGGGTGCAAACTGAGGTTTGATGAGTATTTTAAGACTGAGTTTGGCTTTACAAGACTCAGTTTGCTAGTCTTGTGGATGTGGAACCTTCTTGGGTTTTCTCTTGTTATCTCGGGAAGAGGTAAATTTTTGACTTTAGAGGCAGATTTAATTTTTTTGATGCGAGAAAGGATCAATTTGATTAAAAATATGAATCAAACAAAGCTTCCTATGACCGATGATGCCATAAAAACTGCAATGTAGAAATCTTCATAAAATGAAGTCCATCTGGATTTAGTATTTAGCCAAGATAATGGAATTGTAAGGGAACAAAATAAGATCTGGTTGATGCATTCAACAATATTATCTTGAGGATTCTCATACGGTCGGACAACCAGGAGATATCCTCCATAAGCGATGTTTATTGAGTAAAATACCGTCGCCTTGAAAAATGATGGAATTGTTTTCCCAAAAATAACAAGAGCAACTAACATAACTCTGAGTATCAAAAAAATAGTCGTATAGAGGTTAGAGTATTTGCCATGTTTGACTCCATTGAAGAACTCTTTGCACATCCAATATTTGTCATTGTCTATCTCCGGAAACGATCTTTTATAAATATAAAATGATAGGAGAAGTAAGCAAAGTCAAACTATAGTCATAACTATTCAGGATCCGGACGAGATTTTCATAGTTGTTGTCTTTAGGTTTAATGAGTAAATTTCAGAAAAAATACATAGCATTGTGAACACAAACGCCTGGATGAAGATACGAATGTAGATGTTGAAGGTAAAAAATTCAAAAAGTTTATTGAAGAACTTCGTTCATTTCTCGTGTTCAGATTTCCTTGCTCATTTTGTGAATAGATAAACTCATATGTGGCATATTATGAGCAAAATAATGAACGTTATTAGGGAAAAATAGTTCACAAGAGAACTTCCTGAGCTCATCCCTATATCTTTCAAGTATTCATTAGTCTGAGGATATTTGACCCAGTTTGTTATGGTTTTAATGAAAGGAATATCTTTGAGCTGAATAAAATCAAATGAAAGCATTGCAAAGCCCATTCCATTCAAAAAATTCAAAACTTTGATTGAAAAATACTCTGGAACGAGTGGCAGAAGAATTGTAAGTTGCAGGCTATTCATCATACAGAAAATTGAGTTGATCGAAGTAAATGAAAGAGCAGATGAGATAGTAGCAATTATCATACTTGCTCCAATAAAAGCAATGACAATCTGTGTAGCACCAGCTGAAGATTTGACTTTGGAACATAATGTTTGTGCATCAGAGTTTTGATACCCATCTGATCAAGCCTCTCAAATACTGTGATTGCCCAGTGCTCATCGATTGCAGTTCTGAATAGATCACTCTTCTACAGTGATCTCAAACTTCTTGTAATGAACTTCACTATTGAAGGAGATCTGAAGTGAAAAATAAAAAATCTTCTTTTCTGTCAGTTTGGGAGTGGTTTTGAGGTGCAGCTCTTGGTTGTCTGCATCCAACCTAACCCACTCAGGGATAGCATTAGAACCAGTTTGGGCTAGGTCGAAGCTGATGTCAGTGTAATTTGTTGACTGAGCTCAGGCCCAGATGAATTCCAATTTGACAGATGAGTTGCTCTGGACAGTCTGGGGGTGATCCTGATTCCACAAAGCAACGTATCTAGTAAATGAAGGATTGGTCGAAGATGTTATGTCATTGATCGTGATGAGCGATGAGGTTGAAATAATAAGAGCTCCCGTACTTGTGGTTAGACTTGGGTTTGATGTTGTTGATGACACCTGATAGTTCGTGGTAATTGGGCTGAACAGAGGAGTGTCTTCTTCAAACTCAGAAAGCTGTCCAATGTTGTTTATGGGTGATCTTGCAAGGAAGAATGTGTTATTAGTGAGAATTATACCAGAATGGTAGATTAGCTCTTCACCTTCATATAACCACCTTCTAGTTGCATAAGCCCTCGAGTCTACCGACTTGTACTCCTTCACAATTTCTGCAGCTGAGGGGGAGACCAGAATTAACCTTTTGTAATTTGATAGAGAGGCACTGCGAATCTGAACAGCAATGAAGTAGCTGAACTCTTCTATTTTGTAACTATACCCAATCCCAATGTCGTTCCAAAGCAGCCCAGAGCTTTGGGGACTCCCATCGGTGATGCTGAGTTTTTGGAAAATAAAGTTGGTATCGTACAGTACCATTGTGTAAACCCACTCTTCATCTCTGCTCATCAGGGAGCTGCTGAATTCGTTCACTCAGCCAGAAGTGGGACAGGCAATGCTCTTCTTCCAGGCCAGGCTCGAGGATGAGAAGTTGTAGTTGACCAAGTAGTATTGATCAGCTGTTGTGTCAGTTGACCCAAAGAACAGCAGATCAGCACTGATTGAAGCCAAATTGGCTTGACTGCTAACTCCGAAAGTGAGTCAGTCGAGATTGGAGCTTGACATATCCCATCTGCAAATGTGCATGTTTGAGCTGATGGTTAAGCTGAAATAGAAACCCTTGCCCACTTTCATGTTAGAATCCATAGTAATCGAGGCAGAGCTAATCTGCAATAACTGCTAACGACCTGGAGATGGCAAGGTCTGAAGCTCTGACTTCAAATATCTTTCCTGTTGTCAGGTCTTGGATATAAATAAACTCCTTGCTCGGAGACATGGAGTAGGAATGGTAGTTGCAGAAGATATCATAAGTCATCACTTGCACCTTGGATAGCTCAGGATCCGACTTGTAGATTATTGTGTCCCAAGAACCGGATGATGGGAAATGGCCAATGAAATAGAGTAATTCATTGTCTTGGTCTTCCAAAATATCCAAAAGATAGTCATTGTTAGTTCCAGCCATTCCAAAACTTCCAGAGAGAGGAGATCCTGCAATCTGGGCATCATTCTTGCACACATTGGCTGCCACAGCCATGATACACAAGATTAGGATTTGCAGACCTTTCATTTTAATAATATTAATAATATGATTCTCAATTATTTACTCGGCGTGGGGTTTTGGGGTTTTGGGGTTTTGGGGTTTTGGGG